CTTTCTACGATGCCCATATATGTCTCCTCCTGAAAAAAGACAGAGACGAAACTAATGTTTCTTCCTATCGTCCCCTAAGTCTTCTCAACTCAGACCAAAAGATAATTGCTAAAGTCCTAACCAACCGGTTAAATAAGCACATAGGCTCTATAATTCATCCTGACCAATCGGGTTTTATCCCCAATAGATTCTCTTTTTCTAATACTAGATGTCTCTTAAATGCGATGTACTCAACGACACTGCCCAATTCTGCGGTGATTTCACTCGATGCCCAGCAGGCTTTCGACCAAGTGGAATGGAGTTATTTGTTTGCTACTCTTGAAAAATTTGGTTTTGGGTCGAATTTTTTGAATATGATTAAGTTGCTTTACGCTTGCCCTCGTTCCTCGGTCCTTACCAACCATGAGAGGTCGCTCCCGTTCCTCTTACACCGTGGGACAAGGCAGGGTTGTTGCCTCTCTCCAATGCTTTTTGCTTTAGCTCTTGAGCCGTTGGCCATTGCCATCAGAGCCAATTCCCATATCTCTGGTATAAATTGTGGCACGTCAGAGTACACCATCGGTCTGTATGCAGATGATATCATATTGGCTCTTTCAGATTTAAAGATCTCCCTTCCTCCACTTCTTAAGCTGATTGACAGCTTTGGCCACCTATCAGGGTTCACCATAAATTGGAAGAAGTCTGTTCTTATGCCGCTGTCGTCTGGTCTGGGCCCTGATTTCCTGTCTAGTTTGCCCTTTAAGGTCTCCCAGGATTACTTTTCATACCTGGGTATTAACATCCCTAGGAACTCAAAACTCCTCTTCAGGCTTAATTATTCGGTTCTAACTGATGAGCTCAAGTGTATGATAGATAGGTGGAAACTTCTCCCACTTTCAATGATTGGCCGTATCAATATAATCAAAATGGTTGTGCTCCCTAAATTCATGTACCTATTCCAGAACGTTCCTATTTTTCTCAGGTCTTCCTTTTTCAAAGCGTTGGATGCCATTATCATGCCTTTCGTTTGGGCCTACAAGCCCCCCGCATCTCGAAGTCTCACTTGCAAAAGCCCTCGGACGAGGGTGGTCTGGGCCTTCCAGTTTTCAGACATTATTACTGGGCCTGTAATGCCAGAGCCTGGGTCTTCTGGAATCTGCCTATAGTTGGTGATGCTGTGGGATGCAGGTCCAGCCCTAAATGGCTCGAATTGGAGCTTAGCACTGCTATCGAGCACACTGGAGCATCCTTGCCAGCTATCTTATTTTCAAAATCGGTTATTAAAAGTGCATGTGATGACTTTATTCTTTGCAACTCCGTAAAAATATTGAATCAAATTAAGAGAATCTTGAACCTCCCGGTAGTGTCAACTTTTGCCCCGATCTGCCACAATCCTAGCTTTACGCCTAGTACAATGGATGCTGCTTTCAAACAATGGCCTGTCAAAGGGTTAATTGCTATAAAGGATCTTTATATTGACAATCATTTTGCCTCTTTTGCTCAGCTTCAGACAAAGTACAATCTCCCTACAAGTCATTTTTTTCGGTACTTACAAATTAGGAATTATGTCAAGCAAGCATTCTCAAATTTAGATACCATCCCCATACAGCATGTCTTTTACAATATGATGAACGAACCTCCCACCTCAAAACACTTAATTTCTCGGCTTGTCAACCTTTTTTCTTCGGCAGCCCCCTCTTGCCATATTAAAGAGGCTTGGACAAGGGACACTGGTTTGGTTATCTCTGACGATCTATGGGCTGAAGTGTTAAGTCGGATAAAACTATGCTCTGTTAACGCCCGGCTTCAGTTAATTCAATTTAAGGTTGTCCATAGACTGCACTATTCCAAAACCAAATTGAACAAGATTTTTCCTAACGTTTCCCCCAAATGTGATAAATGTAAACTTGTGGACGGTACTCTTGGCATCTTTTTTGGTCCTGTTCTACGCTTACAGCCTTTTGGACTAGTATTTTTAGTTTCTATAGCACTGTTTATGATAGGCAACTGTATCCTGACTGTCTTATGGTGATCCTGGGCTGCTCCGGCGACTCCTTGGCACTTCCCTTTGCTGTTCAACAGGCCCTCATGTTTGGTATGGTGATTGCCAAACGTTTGATTCTGGGGAGTGGAAATCTGCCTCCCCTCCCTGCTTCAAGAGGTGGCTCGAGGAGATGGTCTCCTGTCTATACCTGGAAGAAATTCGGTTCTCTACGTCTGATTCCATGGAGAAGTTCAGGAAGATATGGGGGCCCTTTATAGACCACATTAAGAAGGACAGTCCACGCCCTGGGTCCTGACCACATTGTTTTAACTGCTTTCATTCTGAGCTGTTGCCCATAACTGTTTTTGCATGATTGTTATCAGCTCCTCCTAGCGATCTTTGGATTTGATCTTGTGGATTGGACTCACTAGATTGTGAGTTGTTTGACATGTATACCAGTTGCTTTGTTTGCTTCTCTGCTGTTTTTAATAAGTGCTGGCCTTGTACCCTGTTGTGTGGTTTGTTGCTCTGTTTTTTTGTTTGTTTGTTTTTTTTTGGTTGTTATTGTCTTTATTGTCTGTGTTCTTCTGTCCCGCTGTTTGTGAATGTGTAAAAAAATTTTGAAACTTGAATAAATACATTAAAAAAAAAGAAAAAAAAAGAAAGAAGAAACGAGTCAGGGATGCATAGCAAGCACAACAAGACACCAGCAGCCCAGACCTTTCACCAACTGAAGACATTTGCAGCACCATAAAACATGACAGAGAAGAGCTGGGACTATGTGAAAGGGTGAAGTGCTGCAGTAAAGTTGCAATGGTCCTATCTTTTATACAGTCTATAGTTCACTCTATTCGATTACCCTTTTCTCATGTTTTTGTTAGTTAGGGAGATAAGACATTGTTATTTGGTTTTATTCTTTTCATAAATAAGTTTTGTACATCCTTTAGATACGGTCCCTTTTGTTTGTTGTTTTGGGGTCCACCCCGAAGCTGTAGTTCGCTCCTTTCCTTTGTTAGAATTCAATCACTGTGAAAAAAAATCACCATCAAAATTGTACTGGTTGTGTGATGTGCTGCTTGGGGTCAGACAGGGGTGGATCACCCTTATATTATGGTCTGGCCACCCTTAGACAGGCCATAACACTAACTAAAATGAAAATTAAAACTAGACTTATAACTGGCTGGCTGGTGTCCTTACCAGTGTCCTTGGGTCTGAACTGTGGGCTCCTCTTTCCAGGTGTTCGTACTGCCTGAGTGGCACCAAGGTGTGCTGTCTTGCCTCTTTTGGGTTTTCTGCATGTTTCTGGCTCAACATGCAAGTATCCACTTCTTGACGTTCGCTGTTGGTTGCAGCCACTTGAGGTTTTTGGGCTCATTTGGGTTCTCAACACTGGGCGACTTTGATGGGAGTGAAAGCATCCTCACAACATAAATCACCACACTACCTGCTTTTGTTTCAGGTTTTTTCTTTATCCTTGTTAACATGTTTGGGTACTGGGTTTACCTGTAATGCATTTTGTGCTCCAAAAGCTGTTATTTTGTGCAGCTGTGCTCCAAAAGCTGTAAGCATGACCTTTCTTATCATTAGATTGTGCCACACCAGCACCTGAGAGAAAAGCTTTGAGTTTGATTTTGTGTTTGTGTTTTGCAGGCACTCAGGAGAATAAGTCATGATGTTTCTTGTGTTTGTCATGTTAGTATCTCAGTGCTTGTCAATCACCAGTCAACAGTGTCACCACTGTGAACAACATCCTGCGACTGTTTGAGCCAAAACCTTCGAGAAGTCCCTGCAGCTGCTTCAAAACTCATCACTGAGCTCGATCTCTCTTTTAACACGCTGGAGACAACAATGAAAGATGACTTTCTTTCATATGCTGCTTTGAGGGCTTGTTCGTGAACAACAACAGAATCAAAACCATCCATGAAGAGACATTTCACCCGCTGATTAATTTGGAGAAACTGGACTTCCAAAACCAGTTGGAGACTTTGTCTTCTGGATGGTTTCAGAACCTGATTTCTCTCCACTATTTCAATCTTTTGGGAAACAAATATACAACACTGGGTCCGGTTGTTGTTAACTGATCTTGACTTTGTTGATTAAACGTTGCAAACCGGCCTTCAGTGTGTCCTGTACATGAGGTCATTTAGTACACCACAGCACGGTGAGTTTTTTGAGCTGATGAAGTTCAGCCAAAACAGGAAACATGCAGCAGGAGACAGTAACTTGTTAAAATGTTATAAAAGGTACAATTAAAGATTTTCACCCTACAGGGTTGTCAATGATCCAAGGATAAATGTCTAATTTGGTCAAAAGTTTATAAGCCATTTCTGGAGAGACTGCAGTGGAAATGTTGTCACTTTTGGACTTTGCTACCTGCAGCTAAACATTTGCAGCTAAATCATTTATTTAAAAGCAGAAGCTGCAACTGATCGAGTGAATGTTTGTCTGAAAACTTAAACTGAACTCCAAGCGTACCATTGCTCCAGCTTACCATCTTTACCTGAGTGAATCAGTTTGTTGAACAATCTAAATGATTCAGAAACTTCTGTGACATCAACTTAACTAAGGCTCATTACAAATTTCACAAAACACTGCTGAATACTTTTAATATTTTTTTATTAGTTATTTTTGTTTTGTTGTTATTTTGATTTTAATAAAACAAAATAACATAAAGAATCAAATTGTTTCAAGAGTTCAGGTCTTAGGATGTTAAAAATGTCCCTGCTGATGAGACCAGTGAATGTGGGGCGACGGTGGCAAGAAAAAACTCCCTCCTGGAGGAAGAAATCTTGGGAGGACCAGGCTCTCTGGGAGGACCCTCCCTCCTGGGCATACTTACCAGTACTTGTCCTCCAGTGTGCGATGGTGGGCTGGGACGAGTGTTGTTTCTTCTCAGCATGATGATGACCTTCCTTCCATTTCCTGTTTCAGAACTGAGAATGAAGACAAAACTGGTTAACAAGGTAACAGGACATTTAAAAATTCTCTCACTTCAGGATGAGATGCTGTGTCTTCTTACGTTCTCTTGTAAAACAGCATGTAGGCCGAGTGCTGCTGTTCCTCACAAGCTGCCGATCCGGTTGTGTGGAGCACCTGTGCGTCATTATAGGTGAGCCAGCGATCTGATGTAGAGTGCTGACTCTCCTCAGGATGGACAGAACTACAGATGTAGTGTCCTGAAATCACATTAAGACAAATGAATCTAACTTCTGGAAGTCAACTGATTCAAGCAAACAGTGATTTTGACTTAGTGCTTCTTAGAACATCAAAAGCTTTTGTGTGTGAGTCCTTCACTGAAAAGTAGAAGTTTTCATTTTCTGTTTGTAACAAGTCTGTTGTTTTACCTGACTCTGTGCCTCCATAATGACTGATGATGCTGACAAGACTATAACAGCCACCACCCTGAGAAGGAACAAATCCAAAGAGTGTTAGTTTCACAAAGTCTCACATCAGAGCCATAATTAAGCTGATTGCTGAGGCTACGTCCACACTAATGCGTTTTCGTTTGAAAACACATCGTTTTCTCTCCGCTTTGACCTCCCGTCCACACTGAGACGGCGTTTTCCTCAAGGAAAAACACAGCATCTTGAAAACGCTCTCGAAAACGCAGACTTTCTAAAACGATGATGCATTTTAGTCATGTGATGCAGTCATGTGAGCAATTAAACAAAGATAGCCGAGTGCATTTTACAGCAGTTGTTTTGATTGCTCTCAACTTTGAAAGCCCTAAAAAAGATTAATATCAGTTTGTACATGCTCCGGATAGCTTTTCTTCAAATTCTGTAATCCTCACTCACTTTTGCGCATGCGCAGGACTGGAACGTAAGCGTTTTCGGCCGTTTCAATGCAGACGCACAACTATTTGAAAATGACTGAAAACACTAGTGTGGACACGGAGTTTTCAAATCTATCAGGGCTAGTGTGGACGTAGCCTGAGACGTTCTGCAGTCTGTTTTTACCTGATTGGATGGCACCACCAAGTCCCTCTGCAGCCTGACGGGGTCATCCACCTTCTTAATGTTGTAGGTTTGTGTAAAGCCAAACCTCTTCAGATGCAAGATCAGGACTCTGGCAGAAAAGAAAAAAAAACACAAACAAGGTAGAAAATAAGAAGAATGAGTGTCAAACACAAACAGAAGATGGGAGAAAACGACTGCTCAAGTATTGTCTCGAAAAACTCTGATATTTGATGCGCCACAGTTTGGAAACCTGGTCAGTCGATCACTTCTGATGTGACCTTACTCACCTTGGCAGTGTATCAAAAGACGACTTCAGTTCTGAGGCCGTCCTCCACAATCACAGCGAAATTCTATTTCTTGTTCCTGAACAACAGCACAGAGAAAACAGGCTTTATGGTAGAAAGAAATCTCAACATATGCACACACACATACGCACAAACACTAACAAAAAAGGTGTGTTAAGATCGCTGACACTACAACTCTATTGGAATTTGTGATCTTACCTTCAAGTATGTCTCTAACATGTTTATAATAGACCCCTCTGGAACAAGGTCAAGAGACAAGCTGGTGAAGTCCTCGTGCTGTGATGATTGGTGACCACAGCTACACATTTCAGGAGTAACGTAGTTAAAGTAAAGATCAGGTAGGTGGAAAAGAGGTATATGAAAATATTGCAACCAGCTCTGCGTTTCTGAAAGACAGGCTTACCTCTTGCATGTCCTCATGTTTTCCATTTTAAAAATGTGATGCTCTTCTACTGGGCAGGTATAACTTTGGCCCAGGAGAGCTGCGTTCCTCTCCAGGTGAGGTGCGAGCCTTTTGACCTCATTGAGGAACAATGTTAGGAATTCATGAGCGTCCTGAAAGAAAAGCAGAGAGATTTAAAACAGTACATCAAAATCAGAAGGTAAAGCAAAAAAACAAAATGTCCAAATAGCTGACGCACTTTCTGTGCACTGCCGGTGTATTCAGGAGCTTGACTGCTGAATGCCTTCTTAAAAGCTCTTAGGTGGTGATCTTTAAGGCCATAATCTGTTGACTCATGACAGTCCCTGACATCAATGAGCCTTCTGTAGAAAGGAAAGGGTAAACAGACATTTCTGCTGTTAGATCTCTTTGTTCTTCAGGTTTTTGAAGAAAGTAGAAGGTTGACGTAGCGCACCTTAAGAGCTGAGCTTCTGGATCTGTGCTCCACAAAACCTCCTGACGCCTGATGTCTCTTATGAACTCCTCAATGTTGAGGAGGCTCTGCAGGCAGGAGTTCATGTAGCAGGTGTTTCCGATGTTTGGAAACCTGACACACACGCACAACGTTTACAGTATCAGTGTAAAAGAATTCATTTTCTCCACTTTGACAAAGTGAGCTTTGGTCTTTGTGCACCACGTGTACTCACCCGAAGCAGTCTATAGTCCCAGTTTGACTTTCTATTATTTCTCCACCGCATGCTACACTGCTCCAAAAAGGTAAAAACACAAACACAAAATTAGGAAAGATGTCAGGATGCTGAGCAGTGTATGTGCATGGATGCATGAGCTTTGAAGTTGAAACATTTTGGAGGACGTCTTTCTCTTACCTGTTAAACACATGCTCCCATCCACTCTCTTGGTCCAGAAGCTCCATAATCCAAGTGTCCCAACTCAGGTCTGCTGGGATCGTTTCCGTGGTGCTTCTTACCTGATATAAATATATAGGACATAGCTGTGTGCCTCATTGCTCTTAATTGCTCTCATTTAACTGTGATGAGTAAATGCTTGATGACAGTGACTCTTTCCATAAAACATACCTTCCCGGATTTAAAAAGAGTCTTCACAGTGTTGCTCTCTGCCTCTGCATCGCTGTCAGTTTGCTGCAGAGGACGAACAAACATAAGTTTATTAAAAAGTACATTTTAAAGAGAATGTGTATTTCATATGTTTTGTGTAAAAGCAAACCGAGGAACAGCAGAAGATGTGTCTCCATTTTCTCTTCTTTTGGCCATTTTCAGGGTTAGCTGGTGTGGCAGCAACAGAAGCATCCGGGATGCTGATGAGGACAAAAGTGTAAATGTTGTGGAAATTTATAAGAAGGAGTACATTTTGCTAATACAGATTGCTAATAAAAGTGAATAACTGTAATGGAATACCAACATGAACAAAATCATGTATTTTATACATTTACACTCTACATTTTCAAACGCTAATCTCTGCATCCATATAAATAATAGACAAGACTAGAAGGAGTAAAAAAGATGTAAATACACAAGGTGGAAGAAAAATGCCAATAAAAGGGAAATAAAAGAGCTCCAACTCAACCACTGCTATAAATATCTCCAGCAGCATTAAAGACTGGCGCATTTCTTTACCTCTGATGAGACGTAGAAGGAATTTCCTTCTCTGCCACGTTTTGTTTGTGTAATTTCTGTTTAGAAACAAGAAAAGCAACATCAGTAATGGCATAAAACAAACATACCAAGTGGGTCTCTCCATGAAAAGTGTCCAGTTAGAAAATTTGGTATTATTTCATATTATTTATCACTTTAGTGAGCTGTCAGCTCATGAAGCAGATATAGGAATATCTTTAAATAAAATAAAAACAATTTATTCATGCCTTAAATTGAGTTTTAAAGTTTGTCCTATGAAATACAAAATCCTTCATTTGGTTCTGATCAAAATTCAGTTTTTACAGAAATCATCCATGAAGCTTCAAAAATGCTTATTCACCATAAAAAATATTTAGAGAAACATCCTGCAAGTCTCTTCGAACTTACCTTTCTGTGAAAAAAAAACGTTTAAACATCTTTGAACTTAATTTGAGGACATGGCTGTGTGCTAAATTGCTCTTAATTCTTCTCATTTAACTGTGATGAGTAAATGCTTGATGACAGTGACTCTTTCCATAAAACATACCTTCCAGAATTTAAAAAGAAACCAGCGACACTTTTTTTGTGTCTTCACAGTGTTGCTCTCTGCCTCTGCATCGCTGTCAGTTTGCTGCAGAGGACGAACAAACATACGTTTATTAAAAAAGTAAAGTCACTTTAAATTAACAAGTGCAATTTAAAGAGAATGTGCATTTCATATGTTTTGTGTAAAAGCAAACCGAGGAACAGCAGAGGTGTCTCCATTTTCTCTTCTTTTGACCATTTTCAGTAACAGGAGCATCCGGGATGCTGATGAGGACAAAAGTGTAAATGTTATTTTTCAAAGTGCAAATTTTTAACAAGGAGTACATGCTGGAGATTGCAGATAAAAATTAATAACTGTAATGGAACAAAATCATGTATTTTGTACATTTACACTCTACATTTTCAAACGCTAATCTCTGAATCAATATAAATTATAGACAAGACTAGAAGTAGTAAAAAAGATGTAAATACAAAACACCAATAAAAGGGAAATAAAAGAGCTCCAACTCAACCACTGCTATAAATATCTCCAGCAGCATTAAAGACTGGCGCATTTCTTTACCTCTGATGAGACGTAGAAGGAATTTCCTTCTCTGCCACGTTTTGTTTGTGTGATTTCTGTTTAGAAACAAGAAAACCAACATCAGTAATGGCATAAAACAAAGTATATGGTATGAAAATACAAAATCCTTCATTTGGATTCAAAATTCAGTTTTTACAGAAATCATCCAAGAAGCTTCCTTAAAAGTTTCAAAAATGCTTGTTTACCATAAGAAATATTCATAGAAATGTGCTGCGAGTCTCTTCAAACTTACCTTTCTGTGAAAAAGAAGTTTAAACATCTTTGGACTTGATGTGATCGCAGCCAAAATCTCCTCAGCTTTGCAAAAGTTCAACTGAAAACAAGCAGTCAAAGGTTGTATATTTATAAACTTTCAGCATAGAATGTTCATACCCTGAACAGCAAACATCAGCATTATGATGTATGGGGCAAATTTGCATATTTTGGAATGTATGCTCATTTGAACTGTATGGTACTCGTCTCCAAGCAACTGCTCCAAAAACAGGTCAAGTCAAGTGGCTTTTATTGTCATTTTAACCACGTGCAGAGGTGCTGTACAGAGTGAAACGAGACAGCGTTCCTCCGAGACCCTGGTGCTATATATGACATATACGGACAAACCCAGGACTACATAAAGTGCAGTGTGCATAAATTGCAAAAATAAACAAGACAAAACAGTGCAAAACGTGACAGAACAGGACGAAACAGACACAAGACAATGGAAATGTGCAAAATGCTGAGTATTGTGCAAAAGTAACTTGGTGTCTGTATGTATGTGTATGAGTGTGAGATACTGCAGACAAGTGCTTGGTAGTGACATGTGTGAAGGTGTGCGTGTGCCAGTGCAGTCACTGAGTGTTCAGGGGTCTGACGGCTTGTGGGAAGAAACTTTTCCGTAGTTTGGTAGCGAGGGCCGGATGTTCTGGGACCTCTTTCCAGAAGGCAGCAGGGTGAAGAGTGTGTTTGAAGGCTGTGTGGGGTCCTCCAGCAAGCGGGTGTTATAAGGAGGGGAGAGGGACTCCAATGATCTTCTCAGCTGCTCTCACAATCCGTTGTAGGGTACTGCGATCTAATACGCTGCAGTTACCATACCAGACAGTGATGCAGCTACTTAGGATGCTCTTGTTAGTCCACTGTAAAAGGTGGTGAGAATGGATGGTGGGAGATGGGCTTTCCTCAGCTTCTGCTTGAAGTAGAGACGCTGCTGGGCCTTCTTGGTTATGGAGCTGGTGTTGAGGGAGCAGGAGAGGTTCTCCGCCAGGTGACACCAAGAAATCTGGTGCTCTTGACGACCTCCACAGAGGATCCATTCATGTTAAGTGGGCAGTGATCCCACTGTGCTCTCCTGAAGTCAACAATCTCTTTTGTTTTGTCCACGTCACAGACAGGTTGTTGACTCTACACCTCTACAGATGGCCCGCAGTGCAACCCTTCAGCTTCCTACTAGATTCACCTATATACAAATTTAAAGACCTAGGAGACTTACTTCTCGTCACAGAGTTGTAGCATTCACAAGATTTTCAGAAAACTTGAACTCAAGGTCAAGGTCACTGATATTCAAACTGACCCCAGAACTTTAGTAGATGCACCAATGGTATCAATTCAAAATCCTACGCTTCTCGTTCCATTTTTATTTCACTATCTGTAACTAAGACAAATAAACAGTGAGACACAAGTCACTATTAAAGTGGTTAGTGAGACTCCACATCTGATAACAGTATAACACACTGCTTATTTATGTAAAATTGTCATCAATAAATGTGTTCAAAACAGAAGCTACACTGGCTTTAAAAGTTTTTGTTAACTCTGACTACCTGTCTGCTCTTACCTGTTTCTTTTGCTCTCTGCTGTCTTCATCCTCCATCCAACTCTACATTGTATTG